AAATAATGTTATTCAAGAGATTGATGTAATTATTTTTTCCCCCTTTTGGTAGTTGTAATTAAAAGTAGTTCTATTGTTGATAGCTTTTCAATTATTGCCTTCTCTATTATGTTGGTAAGAGAAAACTTGTGAAAACTTTGTCATCAAAAAAACATTGTGTAAGTAGTATCACAGAATGAAAGGTTAGTCATCAATCTATGTGTAACCAATTCCAAGTCATCTCTGTATGTGAAACCAATAAATAAAACAACAATTTACTCTAATTCTAAAGTTGAATTTTAAAATAAATAATTGCCTGATGAATGTTGATTACTAGGATGAATCAACTTTTAGTTGTTGTTTTTTAATTTAACCATTGTAACTGTTAATAAATGAAATGTATAGAGCATTTTTCAAAACATTTTTACATTTGTATGATTGGAAAGGTTAAAACAGAATGGCATTGAACTGTCTGAATAAAATGGTGTTCTAAAAACGTTAACAGTAATTGGGAACTGTTGCCTAACATTTTATCTGACTGTTGAATTACATTTCTGAATGGCTTGTCCATCACTAAAAAAGGAACACAGAGCCTCTGCTTTTTGAGGGGTCTTGGGCCATACAGGTCAAAGGTTGGGCACGACTAAACCATAACACAATAAATAGTCATGCGTAGAAAAAGTTGATTTTTTTTTATGTGTAGGGCTTATCCAATCTTTTACAATTTAGTTTTTATAAAAATGTGGGACCTGAGACGTTTATTGAAAGGTTTGACTTGTCCGCTTCTTATTAAACCAGGCAAAAATGTCCTGAGAATTTTTTGTATCTAAATATTTTATGTTAGATATGGAGTATTTTATAGGTAATTTAGATACTGAATATTTTATAGATAAATCATTGAAATAGCTCTTAGAGAAAAAAAAAATAAAAACCTTTGAACTAAGAACCTAGCAAGATCATGTAGATATAGTTAGGGTTAGTTTGATTCAATTGTTAGAGATTCAATCATAAAGAGATTTGGTCAAAGAATATTGAACAACACAACACTGCTATTGTCTCCAAACTGTGTCAAGATCCTTAGCTCTCTCCCCTTTCCTCCCTTCTTGAAGACAACATGAGGACATAGATTGAACTCTGTAGTGAAAGCTAAGTGTCATTATTTGCTCTTAGATTTTGATCAAAGCAAAAAAAAACAGTTGAAGATTTTGAAATAATTAATTGTCATTATTTTCCACTGTTGAGACATTTGAAATTTTGTGTCGTCTTTAGTTACAGTGAATGTTATTTCATTCTTGTTATATATTAACATCCCAACCTAGTATACAGAAGTAATTGGTTTTTTTTTCCTATTATCTTAATTGTTTGCTTAATTCACTAGCTAATACTTACTGTATGCATGTGTTGTTTCCCTTGAGGAACTAACAGGTGTTTCTCTTAGCCATTCCATGTGATTGTATTCGTATCTTTGGATTTGTTTCTTGTACTCCAACACTTTGTTTTTACTTTTGGACTCTATTGTGTTAGTTGCAGAGAGCATAACATTGCGGAGTTGTTTCTTTGGTTTTAGCCAGCAACTGAAAACATTTTCTTCTTTTCATTTTGTTTTGTTTAAAAAGAAGTAGTCCACTTTGGGAAACAATATGCAAGCTGTCAATTGTCTAAAATCTTTATAAACATTAATCAAAATTAATCAAAACCATAAGGGGGCATGGTGGCTGAGTAGTAAAGCGCTTGGTTTCTGAACTGAGAGGTCCCAGCTTCCAGTCTCCCTGAAGATTTTTTCATTTGTCCCAGAGTTCACCCAACTCTAATGGGTATCTGACTGTAATAGGGGAAAGTGAAAGTGTTTGCAAAAAAAAAATGACCTTTACATCATCTGCCTCATAGATTGCAAGGTCTGAAAAGGGAACTTTACCGCTATAAGACCATAAGAAACAAGTTTGTACAAGAATAATTTTGTAGTCAAAATAGAAGATTTCTTTAGGAAAGTATTAAAAAGAAAATAAATATTTTTCTTTTGAGATCTAACCTATTGTGAAGTTTTTTCTGGGTCTTCAACAAATGTAGGATATTCTTTAGAGTGGGCTTGTGGCCTTTGGAATTCATTTCTTATTAAATATCATGATTCTCTTCAGAGGAATCAAAGCTTTATTCCATAGCAATGTAGCTGCCAAGTGATTGAACAGCTCTACCATGTTTCACACTATAAGACAATGTTAAACCACATTGTTAACACTGAACGTTGATGGGTTGTATTAGAGATAATAACATATAGTGATATGTTAAAAGTTTTCAAGCATAGACCTGAAGCTTGTTTGTTTGTCACCCAAGGAGTAATAGATATTTGTTCTTTAAAGGAATGATTCAACTAAAGCTGTGGTTGTGAACTTTAGGCTGAGAATCACTGATGTAGAAGTTTTCTGTGATCTAATGAAGAAACTTTGTATTCAACTGGCTGTTGTGTGATGTTCTCATTATTTGTCAAGATGGCCAAGTAGTCGTATGAACTCTAGTCCATCGAGAAACAATCCCAGAACACTGATATCACAATGCTTTGTACAAAGACACACACGCTTTATTTAATCAGATTTATTTTTGTAGCTTTGACTAACTTTGACATCCACTGTCTTGTATTTTTTGGTTTATTTATTATCAAGCCAGGTATTTAAGCCATTCAGCAATGTACTGATTCACCTTGTCTCAATCTGTTGTTCCTGCTACCTTAACTCCAGCTGTCTTTCTCAAGCAATGATTGGGCGATACATTTGACTACACAGAAAGATGTGTCTCTCCCCACACCTGTAAAGGAAAACCTTTGGCTAAAGAAATATGTTAACCTTAAGTTACCTGCATCTTTGATCATTTTTTTTTGTTTACTGGAGATTTAATTTAGATGTCTTAAATTGAAATCAAATGGATTTCTTCCTAAGAGCACAAGTGTGATTAGGATTTGGTGGAAAAGAGTGATTGAAGAAACTCTGGGCTGGATAGATTCCATTGTTTTGATGTATAAGCCTTTTTTTTTTTTGTTACTGTTCATTATGAACTGGTTGTGAGTGAACATGTCACATGATCACCTTTACAACTGAGATATAAACTAACACAAGTAATTGTTGGATAACTTGTTTGTGTGTCTGTGTATGTGTGATGTATGTAAGAAAACAGCACTCCTCATTTTTTGTTAAACATTAAGTCAGTCCTATTATGTTAGACTTGACTAGTTCTTTGATTGAAATGTAAGAATCAACATGTTCTTGTATTTTAATGGTGTGCATTTTTCACATTCTAGATTTGATATTGATTCTTTCTATCCAATCCTTTAAAAAACTGTCTGAATGGACCATGACTAGCAGTGACAAGTACAAAGTAAACTGCTAATTAGCATAATTGATTAGATGAACACCTGCATATGCTTAGAGACTATCCCTCTTCTTCTGTTAAAGATCAAATAAACATGCCAATGAAGTATACAGTAGCTGATGCTTTTTCCTAGTTTATGTAGACATTTAGGTCAGTGACAGACCTCTAACGTGAGCATCTTGGGATGTTTGGAAATAGGGATGTGACAAGTTTATATTTGCTTGGATCCCTTCCAGTTTCTGGGATAGGCAGATGCAGGGTCGCTTCAAGAGTCCTTGAACTTAGGGCCATTTCAAAGAAGCATTTCAATTTAGAAAAAATGAATCTGAGGGGTCAAAAAATGGCTGACAATGGTACCAAAGATAAATGGGTGAAATTACTCTCTAGTTCTCTTGTTTTATTGGCTGGGTCACAGTGGAATGACCTTTGACTTGGTTTGAAATATGTGAAGAAAATAAAAATTATGTATATAGATTTCAAAGGGTAAGCACATTATTAACACTTAGAAGGACAATAGTTGAACCTGTAGACTAGAAATATCTACTATAAACTATGATTTGACCTTTTTTTTTTTTTTTTTTTTACCAATTCCATTTTTATTTCAGCATGAAATCTACTGCTACATTTGGTTTCACAATTCACAATAAATCTATTTATAGCACAAATCTCTGGGGAAATATGTAAACCGACATGCATGTTAACATTTGTTGACTCCATTGACTTCTTAAATGTGTTTTTCAATTTTTGTTTGTGTCAATAACCTTGTAGCTTTGTGGCAGTTTCTTTTGTCCTTTTTTTTTTGTTTAGTTTGACAGATACCTTGAAGTTATTGTAAACTACAGAGTGCAGCTTCAAACCTCATTACTGTAAACACTTTGTGTGGGTTTTGTGATAAACCTTTTTAAAATTATTTTTTTTTTCAATAGGCTTACTATGATTTCTCTTGGTTTGTTGTGATTTCGTTGAGAGCCAAGTGTAACACAGTGTTGTGTTTAAACACCTGGCATCATTTATGTTCATTCAAAGCAGCATGTTGTTGTAACTTTTGGAGATTTTACTTTTGCTTTTTGAAGTGTTTTCTACTTTTGTTTTTGTCTTTTAGTAGAGATTCTAAGTCCAATAGAATAAGTGAAGTGAATTGTCTGAGTTCTTGTACTAAATATTTGTGACTGTACCCTCTCCACCCCCACATACACACACACACACCTTTCCCTGCACTACACTAACACCTACATTCATTAGATTAAAAAAGAATAGGATAGTTTCATAAAACAAGATTTTGTTTGTAACTGATTGACACAAAAAAACAGGCGTGGGAGCCCCTTCTTCAATACTATGGTGGAGCCCTTTACTTTAGTTCTGTGGGGGGAAAGCCCTTTACTTTAGTTCTATGGTGGAGCCCTTTACTTTAGTTCCAAGGTGGAGCCCTTTACTTGAGTTCTGTGGGGGGAAAGCCCTTTACTTTAGTTCTATGGTGGAGCCCTTTACTTTAGTTCTGTGGTGGAGCCCTTTACTTAAGTTCTGTGGGGGGAAAGCCCTTTACTTTAGTTCTATGGTGGAGCCCTTTACTTTAGTTCTGTGGTGGAGCCCTTTACTTTAGTTCTGTGGTGGAGCCCTTTACTTTAGTTCTATGGTGGAACCCTTTACTTTAGTTCTGTGGTGGAGCCCTTTACTTTAGTTCTGTGGGGGAAAGCCCTTGCTTCAATTCTAGGCTGGAACCCTTAATTTAGTTCTATGGTGGAGCTCTTAATTTAATTCAAAGGTGAAGTCCTTACTTTAGTTCTGTGGATAGAGTGAAAGGCGTTAAGGACCACAGTGTACTTAACCCATCTATTGCCAACTTTCAGGTCACTTTCCAAATGAAATATACAATAAAACGTACTTGACTCCAAGGCTACCAGTAGCTGCATACTTCAAATGGGAACTCTCCTAGAGACATTTACCCCTTCATATGTTTGGGCTGAAGCTCAAAGCTTCAAATGGTCAGTGTTCTATTTGAGCTCGAATTGGCCGTGTGGCCAGATTTATTTTGGGTTTAACACACACACATCTAGGATGTTATATATGTTTCGTTTGTTATTAACTGGTCATGTTATGTTCATGCTATGCTTTTGTCAACCCTATGGGCTTGTAGTATTTTGATATTTTAGAGTTGGCTCTCAGAGAGCTCATTTTTTTTGGCTGTGAATTTGTTGGTTATGCAGTGCTCGCATGCAATCTTGTTTTCTTTAGTTTGGTATATACAATAATATATATATGTATATACAGGCCATCTAATAGTCAGTTGGTGGCAATAGAGTGGTCTTATTTTGACCACGACCTAGAAAGTAACATGAAAATGTTTCAATAACATCCTCACGTCTTTGTGTTAGAATGGAGGTCTCAGTGATTTCGTTTCTGTGTAGTTCACGACTAAATCAACTGCTGCTAACATCGTCCACTAGACAAGAATGTCAAGTAGCTGAAAACTTGCTGCCCACTTCCTTCAGATGTATTGGATGCCAGGTTGAATGTTCACCCAATCTGTTTGGGTTTCCTCATTTTCTGGAGGATAGTCTTGCACGGTTCAAAATATTGTTTTTTTTTAAAGAGTTCATGGACCAAACATTAAATGTACGTCGTACACACATTTCAGAAACATGTATGCATTTCTTTTGTGACAGTTTGATTGTGCGGTCCAATGTTGAGAGAGAGAGAGAGAGCAATACATTGTTGTTTTAGTCTGAGAAATTATTATGTCCATCATTTAAATGCATTGTACAGTCAAAAAAATAATTTGTTGGATTTTAAATTATTCACGAGGCGTTGAATCAATAAAAGAATGTAAAAAAAAAAAGTAGTGTTATTTTTCTTAAAAATGGTATATGTGTGCGGTACTAATTTTAGTTGGTTGCCGGGGGGGGGGGGGGGTTAGCAGGACGTTCCTAAACTTTTGGTTGTGCTTTGACTTTTCGACCTAGTTAGCCATCTACAGATGCTTCCTCCAACTGGCCCCACCCCGCAGCGTACACGGTCAACTAGGCACACCACAGTCTTCAGTAGTTTGACCAAGTTCTGCCCCTCTCAAGTTTTTCATGACATCACTTCAGCGTTTAAATGCTCAACCCTCTTGCCCCTCCACAGTTTTCTAAATCCCGCCTTTTTACAGTTCAATTCCTCACTTCGAGGAAACTTCTAAAAACCTGGAGTGGGTGGACGCAAGTCTCAAAAAATGGCTCTAACGGTTTTCCTAGTAATTTAACAGTTGATGTATATCGCTGAGAAAATAATTACTACACTGGGAAAAATGTAGTTATAATTTTTCAAAGTAAAAAAAAAAAATATTGGCTAGAAATCGGAAAAATATCTATCACATTAACGGACTATACGTCTTTGGGTACTTCCGCATTCGTTCAAGAGTTTAATGAATTAATAATCAAGAACATTTTTCGCATTGTCTTCTAGACCTAAAGGCATATCATTGGAATAAAAGAAAATCTAGTATTCGCTTAACTAGGATTTTCTTTTAATGTTTTATTTCTTCTGAACATTCTTTTATCATGCTCACGTCTGCAGACTGAAAAGTATCCCAATCTTAGCAGAAACACGTCATATATGAATGTATACGATAAGTTACATTTAAATAAGATCTATACGTTACATCTAAATCCATACGAAAAGTTCATTTTTGATCAATAAGTTATATTTACATCTATAAGAAAAATTACATCTAGATTTATAAGTTATACAGATGTATAAGATTGAGAGTTTCAAATCTTCACCGTTTCAGAAAAAAAGGTAAGGGGGGAGGGAATTCTTTTAAGCTCTATACAAGTTCGGTCTTAAAAACAAGACTCGAGCGAACATTGGACGAGTTTAAAGCCTCGGTTTGATATTTACAATTGTGACTAAAACGTGACTCCATCGATACACTTTTTTATCTGACGGTGAGCCATACGTGTATGCTTTATCTATGGCCTTTAACGAAATTTTAAAACGCAAGTCGTCAGCTGAAACATTCAGGGGATTGTTGTATCGCGTCTAAGGATCTGAACCAGATTCTCTCGTTTACCGGTGATACCGAATCAGAAACCCCATTGGTAGCGAACCATGCTGAGAATTACTCCCTTAGAGCACGTGAAAGGAAGCGGGCAGTGAGTTTTAAGGTTGCCTTGTCCCCGTACAAGGACAGCCTTTGTGTTGGACATGTACCAGTTATCTCTCTATCAAATCCTTGTCCCAATCGCCTTTCGTGCAGAACTTGGCATTCATAAAGAATGTGTTGTATTGTCTTGTCGTCCTCCATGCAGTGGGGCACCATGTGTCGTAATTTTCACTCTACCGTCCGAAGTAAACACCAATTGGACAGTGACCGACTCGGAACTGCGCTAGGACGCCCTGTTCCACACAATTAAGTTGCCACCACGCATCCTTTCTGTCTGGTCTACTCATTGCCCTGTGGAGCTCACGGCCCTTATCCGAAGAATCCCAGCCATCGCACCAAAGCGCCAACAATCTTTTGTCGGCCAGGGATCGTTACTTTGGTATGTACACGGTTCATCACACACGAGTGCCGTCTGGACCGCGGTTTTTGAGAGGTGGTCAGCCAAATCGTGACTGACCACTCCACAATGGGCGGCACCCATTGTTAGGTAACGTTCACACCGAATCGTAGGAAACGCTCCCCGACCTTGAGGAGGTCCCATACCCTTCCTCTAGAACGGACATCGAGTCTGTACACAAGACCACGTCCTTGGCTGGTGCAGCCCCACTACGTACTTTTCCTTCCACCCAATCCAGTGCCTAGAACATTGCCTCCAGTTCAGCCTCGAGGCTGCTTTTTCCCTGGCAGGGTCCCATGAGCTCATCTCTTTCGGGGGTGCCAGAGGGTCGAACTACCGCCCCATACACAGCTTTCACAGTGCCTTCGAGCGTCTGCACAGAGCTGTCTATGTAGATGGTAGTCACTCCGGCTGGATACGATGCGATAGTCTCTCTGGCTGCATGAAGTAGCCGTGTAGGATCTCTCTGCCTTATCACCACTGGGTCAAGTAGGCATTTCCGTATCGTCGGCATGCCGAGAGCCTCCATCGGGAAGAAAGAACCGGACGAGGAAAGAGCAGCCCGCTACACCGGCAGATTCATCTCTCTGACCAGCTCACGTGCCACATGCATGAAGCAGAGCCGGTTTTTGAGACGTCTCCTTCTGAGTGGGCATCTTTCTTCCAGCCGCATATATCTCTCCTGAGCTAGTATGACGGCTCGCTCTCTTTGCAATTTCAACGGTAGTACGTTCGCCATGATTTCGCCAGCGGCAATTGGCGTTGTCCGAAATTTTCCACAGATTAGTCAGATGGCGCGATTCTGAACAGTGTCTAGGCTTGCTAGAGTCATTTGCGAAGCCCAGACCTGAACAGGAAGACTGTAGTCCAAGTGAGAGCGTACTGCACCCATGTACAGTCCTCTCAGCACATCTGCTCTCGCTCCCCACTTCGTTCCATCTAGTTGTTTCACAATGTTTAGCTTCTCGGTAGCTGTCTCTCGCACCTGCTGGATATGATCCCACAGTCAGTTTCTGATCGAGGATGACCCCGAGGTACTTGGGCTTTTTATCCCATGCTAGAATCTTACCGTCCATCCGTAGCTCAATTGGTTCCTTCGATATATAACGTCCGAGCGTAAACCAAGAGTAAAACGACTTCGAGTTAAAAAGCGATCACTATAACATTCACCCAGATACCCCTATTTCCCCCAGCCCTTCCCAACGGGTCCAGATAAGTGATAAGATCATAGCGCACTGAGAAAGCTAAAAGCATGACAAACAAAAACAATTTGTAAAAATATTTGCAATCGCATATTTATTATTATTAGTCTAGATCTATTACAAATTTAAATAATGAACTAATTAATACAATCACACTTAACTAAGTTTTTTTTTAAAGTGTTTTTTTTTTATTTCTTAAAATTATTTCTTCGCTTCGGTGTCTCGCCACTGGTTCATCAACTTATCTAATCCTGATCAATTCAACTGAAGTGTAGACCTCAGCACAAGGGAGACCTTATGACACAAAAGTGGGTGTGTCATTAATCATGTGATCGCTTGCCGCTGGATCTATTTAAATAGCTTCAAGATCTCCATTGTTCTATCTGATTAGATATTTCTTTTGTCTGTAAGTATCACATTCAACTTAAAAAATATTTTACTTTCTAAATTCTTAAGAATACATTGATCAAACCCGTTATTTCAAGTTTGTGAAGAGGTGGAATAGCAGTGAAAGACTTGGGTTCCTAATTCAGGTTCTCAATGTTAAATAACTATGTGTATTTCTATTGGAATTCTCAACAGGGCCGGCCTTAGGCATAGGCAAAGTAGGCAGCCGACTAGTGCCTCCGATTGGTGAATTTTGTTTAGAGAAAAAAATTACGAAACATGGATCAAATTTCAAACATAGCAGAACTGTATGGCTTTATGTCTACTAGACTAAGTCTCTACTATGATTCGAGGTTTATTCGCGAATGTTTAGATCTATTAGTTCGAAGACCATTGTTTCTTCCTTTTTGGTGAAATGCCGAAACGTTATTTCTAGTTTGGTGATCATGATTCACATGAAGCATATTCGCGCTATATGAATTTAACTTATTTGGTGATGTAGATAGGACGGTGTAGAGTTCATTGCGTATGTTTGGTCTTAATTTTTTGTTTGTCTATTTCATTTGGGGCTAACCTGTTCACTACGCCTAGGGCCTCCATATTCACTACGCCTAGGGCCTCCATATTCACTACGCCTAGGGCCTCCATATTCGCTACGCCTAGGGCCTCCATATTCGCTACGCCTAGGGCCTCCATATTCACTACGCCTAGGGCCTCCATATTCACTACGCCTAGGGCCTCCATATTCACTACGCCTAGGGCCTCCATATTCACTACGCCTAGGGCCTCCATATTCACTACGCCTAGGGCCTCCATATTCACTACGCCTAGGGCCTCCATATTCACTACGCCTAGGGCCTCCATATTCACTACGCCTAGGGCCATCCAATCCCCTAAGGCCGGACCTTCTCTCAAATAAGATATTCTTAAGAATCATTAAGAAAGCAGATCAATCCAATGGTTGCACTACATTTCTAATTAAAGAAAATAGTAAGGCGAATGGTATTAACCTGCTTCTGCATCGTTTCCGTAGAAATTGATGTTTATAAAACAATAGAACCAAACGGGTAAAGTCATTGATGCATGACAAAATATGTAGATTTGAAACAAAAAATACTCGAGTATATAGGCTACTATTCAGAAATCTTCGACAAACATTTTCAGGACAATCTGTGGCATTTTGTATGTCTCGGGAGACAGTTTTGTCTCTTTGCAACTTCTCATGTGCATCAGACGCTGTAGCACTTTCATCCGTCTTTCTACCTGTAAGCCATCTGCCATCCAGGACCTTTTCTTTAAACTTGCCCTCATTCTGGATTATTAAGCTTCAAAAGTAAAAACCAAATCAAACGTGACCTACTAATTGCATATTTGTCAATGGTTATATTTAAACACATACACACACAGACATGGACTAGAACGCTAATGACATGTCTCCACTTTAACACGTCATCCTACTTGCATTAGATTAGTTGCGGGTTTTCACGGGGAAGTTTAATTTTAATCAGTTTTTTTTTTTTCGATGTTCCCGCCTTCTGATCGGTCGTATGATAAATAGCCGGCACAGCATGACATTGGTATCCTATGTCGTCTTAACTAACTAAACGTTGTTTTGTCTGGTGTTCATATTTCTAGAGGTAGCCTACTGACCACATGAATTAGTCTCGTAAGAATAGGTATTGTTGACTACCAGTGCAGCAAAAGA